AAAAAAAAAAAAAAAAAAAAAAGAAAAAAAAAAGTTACTCTTGTTACGTTGAGAAACTTTTAATTCTAGAATGTTTTCACGTTCTAGATTTCGTTCTGGATTCTTATTGACATTCAAATGGTATAAAATAGTTTTATTTAGGTCGCTATAAATACACCAGGGGTTATAAAACGTTAAACGAAAAAAGCAGAAATTTTTCTCGTTAAGCTTTGGCCAACGGAAGAAACGAAGCGACTACGCAAAGAGACCAATCTCCCAAAGGCCCTTTTCAAAACTTGCTGAATTCAGTTTGAAATAACTACAGAGTTGGGATAACGAATAATTACAATTTCTTTTATCATTGCTTACAATCCTCTCGAATACTTACTATTCCTCTTTAAATTTCGATAATCCGTTCTATAAAGCGATTAAAAAACAACTGAATGAATAAAAATAAAAATTATTACGCCTATTTCATCGGACAAATAAACTCGACGAAATATTTCGACGAAATTCTCGGAACGTGTTCCAATAAACTCGATCCATTAACTCTCGGTTACCCGTCCATATGAAAACAAATAGCAGATCGGCACCCGGTACAGGTAACGTGCCATAAATTAATTACTTACTGGCGAAGAATCGACGATCTCACGACGTCGTATTAAAACCTAGCTCGTTACAAAAATAGGTTGGGGAGGATGGGCGAATACTCGATCAAAGACGAATCCTGGGGCCGCGCGTGAACAGGCGGCAACAAGACTCGCGCGACGAGTAATACGGCTCGGCAGGAAGGTTAATTCGATGAAAATTGCGAGGCCCGTCTGCCCTTATCCATCAATTTTAATTCAACCGGAGGCCCACCCACCGAGGGTGCGCCGCCCCTGGCAACTTCCGTTCGCGGTCTTTCCCTGAAAAAAAGACCCCTTCTCTCCCTCCGCCTCCCCTTTCCTCCTTCTCCTTCTCCTTCTCCTTCCGCACTCTCATTCTTTCCCGGCCATTCAGCGCGTTGTGCACCGTGGATGCGAGCAGAAGCGGACCAAGGTGTGGGGGCTGCCACGAAAAATCGTTATTAATCGTCGGGTCGCCGACCTGGAACGGGCCTCCGCGACTTTTATAACGCGTGTTACGAGACGTGTTCGTGGCCCTCTCTCTCTCTCTCTTTCTCTCTCTCTCTCTTTGTGCCATCCGCCATTAAAAGCCGCGAATTGTATTTACGAGTTATCTGGGAGCAACGGCTGGTTCGCCGAGCCATTAGCGCGAATCTTGCACCGACCTACCGTCGGATGGGAACGTTTGGAAACGTGGCGGAAACTATCGCGATTCGCGACTATTTGAAGTCGACGATAATGGTTTTACGCGGGAGCAAACGTTTCTGGCGAGAAATGGGCTCTTTCATTTCGCCTGTCTTCGTCGCTACAGCCTTTCGTTTCTAACTTATTTTTTTCCCCCTTCCGCCGCACGCGATTCGCTTTGTTTTTCTGATGCATTTGCCTGAGATTCGTAGAGAAGCCGAGAGAGGGGGGAGGGTGGAGTCGCCGCTCTCAGCGTCTCTATCCTTTCAGTTTGCGCACGGATACCGCCGTCTAGATGATTTGAGCCGGGCGTGGAAAATTATTTAAAAGCGATAATTTTACGCTTTTTCGTGCGACTTTGTGCGTGCCCCTTTCAGAGGTAGTTGGTAAATGGCGTGAACAGCACAAAGACGTTACACGAATATTCATAAAGGGAAAACAGATCGATGATTTATCATCGCTTTGTAAAAAAAAGATCTTTTTTTCGTAGATTTACTCGTTCCCCGGGATCAAACGACGAGTTTACGAGTCACGGGTTCGAATGAAATTAAAGCTCGTCGAGCGAGCGTTCGTCGATGACGCGTCCGTTTTCACAGCGAGATTTATAGACTCGGAAGGTGCTTTGTTGGCGTCCCTTCGATCACATCGAGACTATCTGGGCCCTTGGCTCGTCAAGGGGATTAGGACCTGGCGTTTTCGAGCTTACCAGATCGGCGTTGTCGGGGAAGCGTCTACCTGTGCCACATTTCTCCCCTCCTCACGATTCACAAGACAATATCTCTGAACCCTGGTCGATCAGCATAAATTAGAATAAATAACGAGCCTTACAATTCATCGGAATTAGCATAAACCGTGAAATTGGCCGATAAAGAAAATCAGTCTCGTGTAGATGTCTTAGATAGTTCCGCCGTCCGCGTTTCCCCGCGTTCCTCAAATCAGATTTCTTAATAAATCCTTTCAGATTCCCCCAAATCTCGAGGACGGGTTGAAACGACCGTAATTCCCACTATCTCGTCAAAAAAAGAGACAAAAAAAAAAAAAGAAAAAGAAGAAGAAGAAAGATCTTTGCCTGTTTGAAAAAGGGGAAACGTTTGTTTAAGAGAGCATTTCCGGCTGAACAAGGATAATCGTGCCGACGAAGTTGTAAATATCAAGGTCGAGTAGTAACTTGGTTCAAGAATTAACCAAGACTTTGCCAAGTTTTTTTCTCCACCTTATGAACAACAAGTCCCAAACCCATCCAAAGCACCACCCTTCGAAAAATCCTTCTCTTTTACTGGCTCTAATACACCATAATTCTCCAGGATTATTACGGTTGGCAATAATTTCACCTCGAAGCATTCCGAGAGTGATAACGCCTTCATCCATCCATCGCCAAACAAGAAGGGGGACGAATGCTCGAAGGGTGGATCGGTACACTTTGTCCTACGGCTAAATCCGCGCGATCTCCTTTGCGCCAAGCCGCGGTTTCCAGCGGAAAGGGGATGGTTATTAGGCACGAGCTCGGTGCAGTAGTACGCTTTAACCGCATATCCATCTTCTTCTCGTAGTCATTTCCTGAATCCTCTGCTGCGATACTCCATGATCACAACCGTGATATGATCGTATCCGTACACCCCTTCGGTTTTCCCTCTCCTAGTGGTTTTTAAAAGGACGTCGAGTGGGAGAACGAGAACGTTCGATTACGACGGTGCAGGATATCTCTCGTTCGCACCATCGGCCCCTCGTCCTTTCCGGTTGTCAGAGAGAGAGAGAGGGAGGGTTGTATCGA